GTTGTTCTCATGTCTGCTGATGTTTCATGTTTGACAGTTGTCCCTGGTTTTAGTAATGTGCCTGTATCAGAGGTCCAGATGTCCTTTTTTTTTATTTAAAAAAAAACATTTTTCTTTCCTCTCTATAGATCTAGATCTAGATCTACAGCTGAAAGTTACAGAGATTATTATTTTTGGTTGTTTTGTTTTCCAAATACACTACAAGTTACGGATACTGATATGTTCTGTTTCAATTTTCCGATACATAAAACATGAAAATCATGAAACTTCGTGTTGAAAAAGTGCAAAGCATGTTGCGAATGGTGGTGTTACGGTAACTTGCATAATTTTTGCATAATTTTGCTTTTTTGTGCATAATTTGGCCTTCTAAATTTGCATAAAATTCTACGAGGACAGTCACCTGCAGTCTAACAATACCAAGGATTGTTTATCTTAGTTTTAGTAAGAGTTTTAAGGCACTTGCAATACAATTATTAGGTCACATATAAAGTGCTGAAGATTACATGTGTTACTAGAGAGGAGCATACAGACAAAAGAAGGAGGTGAAATAAAGAGGAATGTTTGACAGGCAGTCCCCGTGGTTTTATGCACCCCATTTAATTGAGCAAAATTTGATCATTTTTTGTTGTTGCATAGTTTCTGATTATTTTCCTTTAACATTCTTTGTTAAAATTAAACGAATCGCATAATTTCACATTTTTTGGCTCAGCTTGCATAATTTCAAAATTTGTTGTTGCATATAACCACGGGGACAGGATAGGAAAGAAAGAGCATTAATTAACCACATCAGAGCACCCGCCAACCACCCACAGCATCCATTAGATGGGGTGAGAAAATGATGGTAAAAGTAAAATGTAAAGAATTGAGGTAGAATACCTTTGTTCAAAGGGTATTATGATATGCTGCCGATGGGTTTTGAACCTGGGAGATGTAGAGCTATGCCAATGAATTCTTAGGCGTGAGCTTCAAGAAACTCAGCACAAAATTAGATTTAAAGTAACTTAAACACACAGAAGGAAAAGAAAGATAAAAACGGTTTTAACAATAGCAAAACCAGAAGAAGATAGTATCTAAGCATACAAACTAAATACATCAGTCATTTTAAACTTATATTAGAGCTTCGTAATTTTCAAATCAGCTGATTTTATTAAAAATTGTAAATTGAGCAGGCTTATTCTTCCCTATGTATTGAAATAATCATAATCAAAAGACTTCAAACCACCTGAAACAACTCAACTTGCATCATGTTACAAACAGGTTTTAGAAAATTTATGCCTTCGAAAAAGCTTGACCATGTTATGAAACTCAAAATTCTAAGCTTCAGAATCAAAATTCTCAAAACTAGGTACTGAGAAAATTCAAGAATTTTTAGAC